CCCCACCCTCTGGAACGAACTACCCCCCGAGATCCGGACGATTCCGGATCTCTTAACCTTCCGCCGCGCCCTCAAGACATGGCTTTTTCAACAAGCGGGCCTGACCTAAGGTGAGTTTTAAATAGGGACAATTTTTAAACAATTTTAAAGAGCCACAGCTACTAATATTTGGATTTTAATTGGTTTTTAGCAGGGGAAATTTTTTTCTTTTTTTGTACAATGTTTTAATATGCTGTGAGCCGCCCTGAGTCCCATGGGGAGAAGGGCGGCATATAAATTTAAATATATAAAATAAATAAATAAATAAATTTCTTCCCTAGAACATGGACTCACCAATCTAAGCATTTAATACATCATGAGTAGATGGAGTCATGATGAAATGTCCAAATAATAATAATAATATTTCGTTGGTGGAAATACCTTTTCCTCACCAGCATAAGCAATTTATTCTTATTCCATTCAAAGAACAGAATACAAAATTTCCACCAACGAAATATTATTATTATTTGGACATTTCATCTTTCCACTAACAAAGGATTCAGGTTTCCCAGGGCATTCCTCGCTCTAAGACCTACCTCATGCTTGAAACTCATTTATTCTTGTTATTACAACATATCTTTTGATCCTCATATTCTAACCATCTTGATCCCAATTCCTGCTCATAAAACTTGAGTTCTGTCCTAGTCTCCACAGCATCAAATGAACTTGCCAGATACAGATCCTGGCTAGAAGACCATTGTGATCTGACTGTAAATCATTACTAGCCAGCAGCAAAAAAAAACCCACAGAAAACTCTTTCCCCCCAATTGGTGATCAACAGGATTTTTGCAGCTCAGATCTGGTAGCCCTACTGTAATATAGTACCCAGGTTACTGCCCATAGAAGATTGGGAAGCTTAATTTTTTCTCCATTCATGTTTATGAATGAGCTTGGCTCAATCTCTTTCAGCTATACCCACTTCACAGTGCTGCTGCAAAGATGGAAAAGTAACTAGGATGGAGAAAGTGCAGCAGGCTGTGCAACTTTCAGATTAAATGAAGATACATCAATAGATAGACTTGAAACACTGATTGAAATGAAATTGGTTAAGTGTTGGCTCCTTAATCTAGGAGCCAATATTTAATGAATATTTCCAGAGGGAACTGTGACTATGCTGTTAAAATCCTTTGTTGTTGCATCCTGGTTATTAATTAGATTTTTGCCCTTGAATCTTTTTTAATCAGCTGTATGATGGGAGGGGGAAAGCCCTATAAAAAAGCAAGGGAGAGGCAGGTACACTACAATTGGAGGACAGCCCTGGAGACGCTATGAAGCTGATGCAGGTATGTACAAATGAGGAGGCAGATAGCTGGGTCAGTGATCGTTCTTGCACATTAACATGATCTACTGAGGTTGCAGATCAAGAGATGTTGCTTTAGCATAATAGGAAATTGCAAAAAGGTTAACTGTTGGCTAATAGAAGCTTCCCAGTGGTTAGGGACTACCTACATGAAGAATTGGTGGGCTTGCTTTGAACAGAGTCTAGGTAACCCATTGTTAAGGATACTATAAATACAAAAGCCTTCACTAACAGAGTGAAGTTGAACAATTCTTTCCAGCTCTCACATCCAATAAATCTATATTTGCTTTCTCCAACTGTTTGCCCTCTGGATAAGCTGGATGCATCTAAAGTAGCCATACAGGCTAGGAATTCTGGAAGTTGTGATGAACACAAAAGTGGGGAAAGGTTGCTCTACATGTTTTGGTCAAAAGAAATATTCTGTGGTGCTTTTGCTTCACTAGGCACTACTGAGCAAGCATGGATCAGTTATATGAACTCTTTTGAGGAAATACCTGCTTGAGACAATTGACAAAACAGATCTTTTTCAAAGATTTTGGTATCTTATATACTCAGAAAAACTATATTTTATGTTAAATATTTAGATTCATGTAATTAATTCAGTTATGTGGTATTGAAAATCAAATAATAAACAGAAGGACAAGTTCAGGAAGGGCACCAAATCCTTCCATAAATAGTAGGCTGCAGCTACTCTCTGTCCCCCACTTCTCTTAGTATAAGTATAGAAATACAATCCTGGCACCTTTGTTCATTTATTAAATAATTTTTGTGGTATTTTAAAAAAATCAGCTTAACATCCAAATGTTTTTTGGGCATACCAGTGACTTTGTGGTCAAAAAGGCTGAGGCTTGGGCAATGGGCAGTGATCTGGAAAAAATTTACTATGAATAGTCACACTATTTGCATATCTAAATTAGATGCCTAATTTAGGAGTCACTGTGAATGAACTTTTGTGTGAAAAGCTTGTAATCTGTGCAGTTCAATATTTGTGCTAACAACAAACTTTGGGTCTTAGAATGTGCTCAGAGGTATTGTCTTTTATTTATGTTTGTCTCTTATGACCATGACTTTTAAACAATAGTAAAGCAGACCCAGCAGACAGAAGACTACCTACTGAAGCTATAATAATAGTTTATTAAACGTGCATGCTGCCCAACAATATCAGTCCCATTTGCACAGCATCCCTTAGAGCTTATGCTATAGGCTTATGTTCTGAAACGGATGCCAAAACTATGAAATCTTCCTCATTTCTTCCCTCTTTTACATTCAGGCAAAGAATCCATTGCTAGCAACATTCTTGCTCCTGGCTGCCACTCACTGTGTCGTTCACGAAAATGGCTTGGCCGGCAGTAACCAAGCTTGCCGCCCTGTCAATGCTACCATTGCAGCTGAGAAGGATGGCTGCCCTGTCTGCATGGCCATCACCACTTCCATCTGTAGTGGTTACTGTAAGACCAAGGTGGGTATACGAGGGAGGAGTGTTAGGACAACATTCCTTGTCCCAAGCTAGCACAGATGGCCATGATGCCTGGTGTGGGCTAATATACCTGGAAGGCACCTAGATGAGAAAGCTAGCCTTTATCCCAGCACCCTTTTAAGATTCAAGACAATGCAATGACTTGAAGAAACCTGCATTCAGTCACAGCAAACGTTTCCCTAAGTGGGGCTGCTACTGTTTGTTTCCTGCACCCAGAGGCATAATGGACAGATAAGGTAAAGTTGCCAGGAAAGGGAATTTGGCCTTGGTTTCCAGTCAAGTTTTTTCCCCTTGATGACTTTTGAAGAGAATTCTAAAATCTTGTAGATGTAGATTATGCTTATTGGAACTGTTTGTGGTTAATTTGACAAAATGTCTTGTTGGGGATGTTCTGAGAATTATCTGCAATTGATGGGCTGATGAATCCTGCATTAAGTGTTATCTAAGCATTAGCCCAGAAAGGGGATTGGGAGGAGCCATTTGGGGCCTTAACATTAAGGCTGAAATGACATTGTAACCTTCATAAAATAGGGCCAATTATTTGACTCAAGGCGTTACTACTCTTCACCTGCTTCGCTACCGTACCACTGGGGGAAAAACTACACATGGCCCCTGAATTATGCATTTCCTGTTACATATTACAGCCTAGCAGGCTTTGCTTTCCATCCTGGAAGAACAGGCAACCTCTTCCTATCAGAGGCTTTGTGCATCCTTAGTTTCCCAGATAGAAGATATTATTTGGAGAGTATTAGTTCTTCATTATTTGCCTTTAGCTGACCACTTTGCTGCCCAGTTTGCCATTTTATCTTCCTACTACTCACTACAAAGGCAGTTAATGTCCCAACCAATTCCTCAGCTTTGATAGCATTGAGAAGGGATCTCTGGAAGTTGCTAGTAGCAGCATGTCTGGAGCAGGTAAGAGAATGGGCAGGTAAGAGAAATTAGGTCAACACTATACAGAAGGATGGTACCAGTGACATTTTTGGATGCTGCCCTGTGAAAGAGTAGGAAAGAAAGCCCTGTCATGTCTAGCCACTCTCTCTTTTACAGGAAATGCCGTGGAAGCCTATCTTCTCCTCCTTCAGCCAAAAGGTCTGCACTTACAAAGAAATACAATATGAGACTGCACTTCTGCAAGGCTGTCCCCCAGATGTTGATCCATCCTTTACCTATCCTGTAGCTCTCAGCTGTCATTGTCACCTGTGCAACATGGATTCCAGTGACTGTACTGTTCAGGGCACTGGGCCTGACTCCTGTATCAACCAAAATCGTCTTGCCTAATAAAAAAGGGTGACTAATAAATGCCATGCTAGGCCAACAACAATGCACATACTTGTAGAGATGCTTTATTGAATGGAACTCTGACATCCTGCATTCCAGTCCGTTCATGCTCACTCTATCTCCTTTTCAGTCTTCTAACAAGACCATATATTACAGGAACCCATCCTGATTATAATCTTATCCCATCTCTGCTTCTGAGAACAGTGTAAACTCTAAATTAATTGTAACATCCTGGTGTTAGATTTATATTTCTGCTCTAAAAAACAAGCCTGTGTTTTAGAAAGCAAAGTCAAACAGTTATGCATTTGGAAACCTAATTTGATTACAATGTATACAGCTGCTACAATTTGGACAGCAGTAAACCAGAAGGGTTGCTGTGGGAAACATAAGGAAGGAAGAGATGAGATATTTGAATTAGGGTTCCAAGCTTTTGAACTCCCAATTATTGAGGAGAATGGGAGATGTAGGCCAACACATCTCAAATGTGAGAGGTTGAGGAAAAGAACCCTCTCATACCTTTTTTTCCCCTTTGTCCACCTATTAAAATAGCTCCTTCTCCTTCGAAAGATTTTAGATCATTAAATATACGCTCTTTTGAGATATTTGGGAGCTTGGGCCAGAACTTCACAACATACCTCACAATAGGATCACTTTTACTTTCCCTTTCCTTTCATTCAATTATCTCTTCATACCAAAGTGAAAACCCACTGGGGAACTTGGAAGGCTGGACTGAACTTTTAGCGTGCAATAAAGCACAGTAGAAATGGGAGATATTCCTAAAACTGCAATGGGTGGAGTGAGAAACAGAATTAATTTAAGGAAAGACCAACTTGAACGAAAGTGTATAATATTTCTTAACAGAGAGGAACAAAAAAAAAAATTACAAATGAGAAAGACAAAATATTCCCCGGAAAGGAAGCATCTTCCCAGTTTACAGAGATGATTTCAGCACTGGGTAACACTGAAGGAGTATCCTCCTCTGTCCTCAGATGAGGTCCCTGAGGATGTCATCCTCCATGATGCTGGGAGCAGGAACCTGCTGCAGGCCTGGCTGAGAAACAGGCCCCCGGGGACCAGCATTCATTAGCATTTGACCTGGGAGAGAAGGGACAACACCAAGAGGCTTTAGAACAACAGTGGAGAATCTCTGATTACAGGATTAGCTGTAGTGCTCTGCTTAATTTTATATCCACTGGGGCATTTTGAACAAATACTTGACCCAGAAGGGAAACCTAATCAAAGATTTGTGCCTTCGTTTCTCTTTCATCCCCAGGAATAGCTAAGATATTGTTTCCATTAGTCCATGAATCCCTCTTTAAGATAGCCAGAACATCGGAAAATAGCATCACCAGAGTTCTTACCTCACTATAATTACTGTATTTCACATTTGTTGCTCATGTTTTACAGATAATAACCCGCTCAATTAGGTAATGACATAACGTTCCTCTTAAACCCATCTCTTCCACCTCTGCAAATTAATGTGCCTTGATGAAAGAAAAAGGCTCCTTTCTCCAAAAGCAAGAATCCTACCCCAACTCTCAGATGCAGCTGTTTCTGGGGTGGGAGAAGCGCACCGTACCTTGCAATTGTGGCCGTGGTGCCATCTGGGCTGGCCATTGCTGCCCAGGAGCTTGGTGCATGAGAGGCTGTCCAGGAAGCTGGAGCTGTTGCTGTCCAGGAGGCTGATGCCCAAGAGTCTGCCCCATGGACTGGTGTGGTAGCATTCCTGAAGACCCTTGTTGTAGATGGTGAAGGGGCTGCTGGGATTGAGGAACTCCAGCTTGGGGCTGTATATGAAAGAGAGGAGGAAGGGGCGTTGTCTTACCTGAACGCCTTTTCTCAGCACGGAGATGGAGAATCCACCAATGGGTAGTAGACTGTATTCCTGCCCAATCAGATCAAGTCAGCCAAAGTTGCCACGCCCGTCCTGGGCCATAGATACCCAGTCTTTGACGCGAGCGTAGCCATTGACTGACAGCAAGACGTTGTGGCTCACCAAATTAACTGACCTTAGGCCTAATGACCTACAAGGGTGGGAGGTGGATTCTCCATCTCCGTGCTGAGAAAAGGCGTTCAGATAAGACAACGCCCCTTCTCCAGCACTTGGAGATGGAGAATCCACCAATGGGACATACCAAAGCCTAGGAAGCATATAATTCTTTTCTGGCTGTTACAAGTGCCAGAGGAAAGCAGCTAAGCTAAGCAATGCAGCCACTTCTCTAACATTTCAGCAAACATCTTCAGTTTTTTAAAAAAATGGAAAAGCATTGGGGAGACCTTGTGGAGAGGAATTGACAGTACGCACCGGTTGTTGACTCAGAAGAAGGCTTCGGAGCTGAGGGTTGGCTCCTGGGTTTTGGGGCCTAAGCATGGTCCCTCCTTGGGTGGCCTGTGGCCCAGCCTGGGGGGGACCCTGTGCTTGTGGAGGTTGGTTGGTAGGTGGGGCAGTTGGCTGAGGCTGCTGCACCCGGAGCTGCAACTGTGAAAAAGAGGAAATATTTTGTCACTTGCAAAAATGTAAACAGCAATTGATATGAGGGTAAAGGTTCATTCTCCGAGTTTGTGGGTTGGTTTCTGAATGTTTCGTTACCAGGCTAGGTAACATCTTCAGCAGAGTTTAGGGCAGTGATGGCAAACCTTTTAGAGACTGAGTGCCCAAACACAGGCCCCGCCCCCACCCTGCCCATTCCCCCCCTCGCCATCCCGCTCCCCATCCCCTGCTCCGCCTTCCCGCAGGGCCACTCACCGCCTCCACAGCCCGCCACAGATCACCCAGGTGGCCCAGCAGCGCCATGGCAGCCATGCCCTCTGCCTGCGCCCCACAGAATCAACTGTGCATGATGGGGCACGAGGGTGGAGTCTTGTCCCCATTGCCTGACTGCCATGTTCTTGGCTGCGCTGCTCCACGTGGGCTGCGCTCGGGGGCGACTCTCCTCCCGGGGGCTGCTGGTGAGGTGGGGGCCGCGGGGGAGGCAGGGCTGGGGCAACGGCGCACGTGCCCACAGAAAGGGCTACGAGTGCGGCCTCTGGCATGCGTGCCATAAGTTCGCCACCACTGGTTTAGGGGATGTCAATGTCAGTGTTCTTCTATTTATAAGGGCTTCAGATATAGGTGTGTCAAGTGAGGGTCTATAATGGATCTTATGATGGGTCAGTTGTGAATCATCAGTGAGTCTTGTGATGGGAAGGTTACATCAGGTCAGGGTCATTGGGAGGTGAAATGCTGGTGGGAGGGGGGTCTTGTGTGGATTGGTTGAGGGTTGGTGCTGTCTCTGGTTAGCTGTGTGGTTGATTTGGATTCTGAGGGGTTCGTAGGCTGGTTGTAGTCAATGTGTCTGTTGATGGAATTGCTCATGGAGTGCCAGGCTTCGATAAACTCACAAGCGTGGTGGGTGGTAGCATGGCCAATGATTTTTGTGTTGCTCCAATCGAACTGGTGCTGTTTGGTATCAGTGTGGGTAGAGATTAAGGATTTAGGAGTGTGGCATTTGACTGTTTGTGTTTGTGGATCCTGGCTTTTAATTAATGTGATGTTTGTCTCACATAGAACTGGTTGCAATGGTTACAGTTGATTTTGTAGTTGACACCGTTTCTTTCTTCTATTACTTGTGTTTGATTCTGGATAATTCCTGGCAGAGTGTGGTTGTGGGCTATTGCTATTCCTAGTGGTTGGAGAATTCTGGCTGTCATTTCTGATACTCTTTTATGTATGGCATGGCTAGTTTTTGCATGGTGGTTGGCTGTGTCGTGTCTTATGGTTTGGATGCTGTATGTCAGAATATGAAGTTTTTCGGATCGCTGTTACAGAGAAAGATGTCAAGCAGATGTTTTTCTTCCACTGTTCTTGGTGTTGTAGTGCTGCAGTGTGTTCTGGCCCTTCTGAAGAGAGTCTGGACACAGCTGCTTTTGTATGCAGTGGGGGTGGTTACTTGCAAAGCTGAGGATCTGGTCCGTGTGCATGGATTTGCGGTAGACGTGGGTTTCCAGTTCTCCGTTGACTAGTCTCCTTATGTCGATGTCAAAAGAATGGGAGTCTGTTGTCTGTTTCCTCTTCACGTGTGAATTTGATCCCAGGGAATATGTTATTGAGTAGGTGGTGAGTTTCTTCAATTTGGGAATGTTTGATGACGACGAAGCGTGTCCAGAATTTTAGTTAGATGGTGGGTAGAGCTATGAATGACAACTAAAATTCTCCAACCCCTAGGAATAGCAATACCCGCAAATAGGATGGTATGGCAGGCTATGTGCAATGTCCCAAGGTCTTAGCTTGTGTACCACTCAGTTATGAAATGAGACTGTTGAATTAACCCAGAAATGAAGTTGCTTAGCCTCCATCCTCTTTCCAAGTTCAAAACACCATGCTATAGGGTCAAATAAGTAGAGTTGCATGAAAATAATGATTCCAGGATGGGATGAATCCACTTCAAAAAATTACAGCAGCTCCTACCTCCATAAGGGACTCACCAAACCCTGCTGCCGTTCTTCCATGATCCCCACCTGGGGCATACCGGGGCTCACCTGTTGCCCACCCATCTGTAAAAAGATAAAAGCAGAGGCAAATCCAACAAGGAGTGGCCAGTGAGGCAAAGGAGACAGGCAATGCATTTCTAAGTCCAGACATGCTGCCAAGAGATAGATAGCTCTCTTCTCCTTGTATGGCTGCTGCCCAAAACAGTTAGGGCAAAATTTGCTCTGCCTAATGTCTTACCTGCTGTTGGACTCCTGGAGTTACTGGCAAAGTACCAGGCTGCTTTGCCAGGAAAGGCTGTGTGTTGGGTGTGGACCCCATGGGTTGAGAATTCCCCATCTGCTATAGAGATGAAGAAAAAATAAATTACAGCCTTCCGGAGTTAACTGTAGCCCTGTAGACACTATTTAGTATTACAAAATGCCAGTGTTAAATGTTTATGGAGTCCAAAATATTTTGAATGTACTCCTGTGCAGAAGCACAAATACATTTTGTATACATATGAAAATGTTGGTTCAGGAATTAAGGGTGCAATATGCTTAGAAATGGCATGGCTACAGTTTATTACCAAGCAAAAAATACTGTAAGAAATGTATTAAATGAGACTTAGAACTATTTACAATACAATCTGAGGTAATTTTTCAATACACTCAAAACTAATTTTTCAGTTATAAAATTTCCATCCTGGTTTTTTCATCATAACATACAATTCCAAGGCAGGAATTTGATACAGAATGGCTGAATATCAATAGGTATTATCTACCAGTTTACTAATTAAACACAAAATATGCTAACTAGAAGTACAGGGAAGCCTATAATTTTGGAGACAAGGTGGCATTTCTCTTAAGGAACATAATATACCTGAGGTAGCTCTAGAATTCAACAGATTCAGTCTGCTGAAAAGCTTGAACATATAGCTGCTGGGGAAAAAATAAGACCAAGAGGATCAACTACTGACCTTTTGCTGCTGAACTTGTTTATGGTTAGTGATGACTTGGCGTATCCCGTTGACGAAACCACTCTGGTCATAAGGAATGAGCCCCATGAAGATTTTCTTCTTGGAGGAGTAGAGCAGCATGAGCACTCGCACCTCACAAGGTGTTGTGTGTGGGAAGTGGACACAGCCAGCCTGCTCATGTGACAAGAAAAGTACATCTGCTAAAGGGGTGGGGGTGGTGGGTTCAGAGAAATGTCTTTCTAAGGTGAAATCTTTTGCCACCTTATTATTTGTATTTGTA